TTTTATTACTGTTTCATTAGTTTTTGTCTTCTTTTTCTTTGGGTACTTCCAGTGTTTTAGTCCCCAGTGTGCATACCTACTTCTGTGTGTTCTTCTCAAGCTCCTCCCACAGCTTCTTGTCTCTCCCCAGGTGTGTCCCATTACCCCTCGTTAGTGCCCCTTTATATTCTCGTGTCTCATGTTCCCTGTTGGTACAATGTACCTTCCATGCTTGTTTTGGTTTGTTCTTCCCATGTGTTTTCCCAGTGTTCTCCWGCATAAGTATTTATGCTGTCACAACAGCATTTTAATTCAATTATTAAACTAATTTTCTCTTTGATATCCAAGCTTCTATGAGTGTTTTTGTGCCTGTTCCCTGGGTTACCTTAAAATCCACTTTTTAGCCATTAAATACATTTTGTTGCAGACCTGGAGTCTCTAGGAGTTGAGAACATTTTAATTTCGTCTCTTCCGGTGCTGCAAAGATATCTTTATATTATTTAAATTTTTTTATTTTCAAACTTTATTCATTTATTTAAAAACTAAATTCTATGTACAATAAAAAAGAAAATACAAATAAAGTAAAATGAAAGGCAGCAGAGAAAAGAAAAAGATCTTATAATATCTGCCCCTTTTTTCTCAAGTATAAATTCAAACAATAATAATCTTCAGTCAACAAAACAAAAACATCAAATCTTTCTAGAACAACAAATTATATGAATACACATTATACTGTTTCATATTTTTAACAATCTAGCTTTTATCATTCTCTTGAACATGTACACTGATCTGGCTTTTTTAACATCATCTTCCAGATTATTGCACAGTCTCACTCCTTGGATTGAGTTGCATCTTTCTTTCAAACATGTTCRAAATTTAGGTTTCATGAACATCTCTGTCTCCTTACAATTATAACAGCTCTCGTTCTTAGCAAAGATTTTCTGGATGTTTAAAGGTAATGTGTTTGGTGAGTTGTATACATGACTAATAAAATGTTATAATCAACCAAATCATAAAATTTTAATAATTCCATCCATCCATCCATCCATCCATCCATCCATCCATCCATCCATCCATCCATCCATCCATCCATCCATCCATCCATCCATCCATTTTACAAAATTATGTATCAGATGGATAGCCCTTTGCTGCAAAAGAAAAACAGGATTTGTATTAGTCTTACATGCTTTACCCCATACCTCAACACAATAGACCAAGTGTGGAACAACTAACGTGTTATATAACATATACAGAGCTTTATCAATGAACAAGTCCCTTACTTTGTAAAGAAATACAATGGATTTAGCTAGTTTTATTCTTAAATAATTTATGAGGTTTCCATGTCAATTTCTCATCAATAATAACACCCAAAAACTTTATCTCTAACTCTGTTAATCTCTACACCATCAACTCTAAATGGAATATTAACAGTTTTTTGTCTCTTTGTAAACATCCATCCATCCATCCATTTTCTGTACACGCTTATTCCTTTTCAGGGTCGTGTGGGTCACTGGTGCCCATATCCAGCAGTCACAGTGCGAGGGGCGGGGTATACCCTGGACAGGTTGCAAGTCCATCACAGGGCCTCTTTGTAAACATCATATAATTAATTTTATCCAAATCTTTATATTCTGTTTGTGTCATTTTTTCAACCTGTTCTGTTTTCTCTATTCTCTGATGTTTTCTGAACTATTACATCACAGAAATTCCAACAGAATTGTCAAATAAGGAATAGACTTACTAACTACAGTTTTATCGTCTTCATTCTCTTCTTGCTCTGGGGTGAGGTGTTAGGCGCCTTGTTTGGATTTAAAGAYACWGCCTCAAAATGAGTTGATCTGAGACACACCTCAGAAAAGAGGTGAAAGAATGGCTTGTGGAGTTACAGTAAGYAGAAATTCAGACCAAAGCAATGCAGTTTCACTGAATGAATGATTCAAATGTGAAAAAGAATGATTTAAAATGTGTTTTTCTTGTTTTGAAATAGCTTYCAGTTTCAATTTTCTATTTGGAGATTTGCTTCACAAAATGTTCTTCTAACAAACAATGTCACARTAACTTTCGAGCTGTGTTCCAATCCTTTGCAAACAAACAATATTTTCAATTAATTTACAAATTATACTTCAAAACACTGGAATTGCTGTCTCCTTTCATCCAGGTGTCTTTCTCGTCACTAAAGAACTTTCAGTTTTCTTTCAAATCACCTCCGAGTGTAGAGTACATTTAAGTGTCCATAGATTTCAGTTGTAATTTAAATAAAAGAAAATTATACTTCAGAATTGGAAGTGAAACCTTCCAACACAAAACACCATAAAGAAAATACCCACATGAACTGAAGTCTTCAGTGTTTCTGTCTGCTCGTCTTAATAAGAGTGTTGTTATAAAGCATACTTTACCCGTCTTTTACTGTTCATACATCAACATGTYGACATTTCTTTTTCTTATCCTAGAGTACTACAAAGTGCTGTTGGATTTTGTAAACTAGCAACATTGGCCCCCTTCAAAATTTCCCCAAAAATCTTCTAGTGATTACATCAGCAAGGGGTCTCTCAGACATACATTTCAAAGCGGGCTCAAGTTTCAACATGTGCTGTACAAACTCTTTGGAAGAAGCACCAGGAAGCGTGCAACATTAAGGATCGCAGATGCAATGGTTTGGCCGAGGAAACTTAGTGTGGCAGATGAAAGACACATTATGCTGACTTTGATTCAAAATCAAAAGATGTCCGGCAATGTCATCAGCTCAGAACTGACAAAAACCTACAGGACCCGGGTACACCCATCCACCATTTGGTGTCTGTCTTTGTGGAAGAATTGTGGCCCAAAAAAAAAAAAAAAATTCCACCCAGTGAAGCACGATGCAGTTTCATGCAAACCTTCAGAAAGCGTTTCTTCAAATGGAGCTGATGATCTGGTCAGGATTAATGGTATTCAAGCAAATGCAAGCAAATACTTGTTTATGCTGCAATACCACCTAGACGGCTAATTGACCCCAAATTTATTCTGCTGCAGGACCATGATCCCAAATGTACACCCTGCATCATTAGGAAGTGTCTTCAGAGTAAAGGTCATTTTATTCTCCATTCAAAGACGAAAAATCGACTCTCATTGARGCAGTTGTGGGGGAAAAAAATCACATCACTTTTTTCTTGTTGTAGCTTCATCTGCTCCTTGACACAAAGCCTACAGACRTATTTTCACAGGTGCAAACTATTGTGTGATTGGTCAAAAGTTTGTGGGCATGTTTGTTTATGCTGAAAAGCGTCCAGATGTCATTTTGCTTCAACTACTCCACTTTCATTATCCGTCTGTTGTGCGTGTTGAGCTCTACGCCCTGTGTCTTATGGACTATTAAAGGGATCCACGATTAGTTGTAACATTAGACTTTCATAAACAAATATTTTAACTGTAAAATAAAGACTGTAAAAAATACTGTAGGATGTTTAATTTTGTAAACTTTTAAAAATATATTTTAACACGGACAGAGCCATTTTATTTACACACAAAGCATTCTGGGTAAATAATGACATGGATAGGTCCTCAGTGTGAGCGAGCTATATCCACCCTGAAGGTTAATCTTGGACAATATCTGATGATCGACTCTTTTAAATGAAACCAGAGAGCGTTGACAGAGAGGAGAAGGTAGAAATGACTCAGCCTGTAACTGAAAATATAGATGGAGGACAACAGAGCTGCTTCATGGAAGATGAACCTCAGCTTAGCCTGTTAGCCTTTGCGCTAGCGCCAATGCTATATGTATAGCCTTACATGTATTAGCTCAGCGCTAGCGCGACAAACAAGCTAAACTGTTGTCCTCCATCCATATTTTCAGTTACAGCTGAGTCATTTTTGCGTTCCCCTCTCTGTCATGTGGATGGAGGACCTCAGTGACGAGAGGAGAATGTGTAGCGCTGAGCTAGTACATATATATGGTGATAGCGTCTAGRGGTGAAATTGTCCAAACTTAACCTTCAGGGTGGATATAACTCGCTAGCAGCCTCGCACTGATGACCTATCCATATCATCATTTACCCAGAATGTTTTGCGTGTAAATAAAATGGCCCCGTCCATGTAATATATTTTTAACTTTTAGTTCAAAAGTTATAAAAACTAAACAGCCTACAGTATTTTTACAGTCTTTATTTTACAGTTAAAATATATGTTTATTAAATAAAGTRTAATGTTACAACTAATCATGGATCCCTTTAAACGACTGTGTGAAAAAGAACATCTTGCAACCGCAAGCCCACTTCTTGTCTTTGGAGAGAGGATAAAATGACTTTAAAACAGCATCAGTTTCTGTCTGTGTAGTTTTCAGACACTTAGTGATGCTAAGATTRGAACTCGGAGTGGTCTGTATTACTACCGGTTCTTTTAAAAAAACACAATATTCTGTACATTTGTGAAACATTATTCTTTTCTAATTTTTTTACACCCAACTTAAACTTTTGCACATCACTGTAGGTTATTAAGTTGAGTTCAACCTGTTTGAGATTCATCATCTGTCCCTTATAGAGACAGGTTGCAGACCAGTGACCCCTAAATCTGTGAGCATTTGAGATTTTATTTTGGTGATTTATTAATAACACCCCACCCCCCAAAGGAAAACAGCTGAATCTGCATCTGTTGGACAAGTTTAAATTTAGGAACAAAGTTTCATTAGAAAAACCTTATGTTATGTCACTTTGGGCGATTGTGGTAAATTCATTATCAGTAACAACGAGCACAAATCTCATGATTCTGAAGTTTATCTGGTGAAGTTTAGAAAAAAAATATCAAAAGTTTCAAAGGACCCTTCCAGTGCTGACTTTTACACTGAAAATAATCAGCATCGACCAATCAATGGTTCTACAATGTGCAATAAAGGGCACAAAGCAGGATTTTGATGCTTTCCAATTATCCAATAAATTATATTCCCTTTTTATTTTTGACTCCATTAATCTTTTACCATAATGCTTCAYAAAGTAACAGAAAAACAAACATTAGAACTTTATGAAGATGCACTTTATTTTTAAACTTACCGCTGTCCACCATGTCCCCGGGTTGTCCAGTCCACAGTTATCACTGTACTCCAGGCAGCAGGAGTCTGGCACCCGGGTGGCGTTGTACACCTCAAACCAGTCTGTGTGGTTGGTGACTCCACAACAACGAAACTGCCCAAAAAAAAGAGAGTCAAAAGTTTTGGGGTATTTCTCTCTTTTTTTTTCCACCATCACATGAAATTCTCCTTTCATAAAAAGCRATCTGAACACATCTAGATTTAAAATCACCAATCTTCTAAGAATAATTGTTGCAGTCTGAAACATAGAACTTGTGTTGAATGTGCCTGATATCGATCTGAAGCTGCTTCTGTACCATTTGTAGCAAAGCTATTATTTAGATTTCTAACTCGCCTGCTTCTTTTGATCTACATCTTCCTGCTTTGTGATTGCTATAGATTTTTGATAAGAGGACACGGTGACTTTCAGATTTCGGTTCATCAGTGGATGTGGAAAGATAAAGTGCTCCCGATGTTTTTGTTCATCTCTTGAACTTTAATTCCACACAGGAGTAACACCGTCTGAGCCCCTCCCTGCAGCAGAGCGTGCACGGAATTGCAAACTACGAGTTAATTTAAAACTTGCTTATTCGCTTAAAAGAACAGACCAAATTTGCAATTAATCATAGAATCCAGCTGAGTTAACCCCCTCAAAAGCCTCCAAGTTTGCAAGTAAAACAAAGGTTTAAGCTGGCGTATGGTTTATTTAAATGTAACCACCTTGGAAAGTTAACGACCGGTGCGGCACGTGACTTCTCCAGATTTATTGCATCTGCATTCATAGAAGGCATTGTTGAAGTTTTACTGCTTCCTCTCCTGTGTGTGAATGCTCTTTCGATGTACATCCAGAGTTCTATAAGTGGCCATAAATATCATCCAAGGTGACCTTTGCTCTAGGGACATCTGCGGTATTATCCATTCAGTGACTCAGCATGTATGAAAGAGGCTTAGGAAGGAGGGAGTAACAGAATGAGAGCTGCCTTTTAATGGTTTTTGTCTCCCACAGACTTTGCAGCTCTCTCTACACACACACACGAGCAACGGCACTGATATTACAAGGATAAAGGCACACGTTCACGCAGGCATACCTAGAATTTCAAARGGGGGCTTATTTAAGCAGATTCTCTTCATCCTGCTCGCCGAAAATAAGAGCTCTGCACGTTATCACCCCCACTTAGAGATCCAGACCTGCATTTATTTGCATAGCAATAGATTTCWCTGTCATCATTTATGTCTTTTCGTTTGCCACAGACACAAGCTCACAGAATACCCCTTCCAGGCAAAAGTTTGCATGCGTGCGAAACACACGAGAGCCAAACTTTAGCTAATAGAACAAAACTACAAGCCATAACACTATAACCGAAAGCCCTGAAGTCTGCAATCTATCATTCCGAGACACCTAAAAGCATTTTTAGTTTCTTCAGCTGCTGTATTCGCTCTCTGCAATCCTTAATTCCCAATCTCTTTCTCACATGGTGTTTTCTTTGCAGAGATTTTTGAAAGGAAAAAAAATACATAACAAAGGAAAAAGGCACATCAAAGTGAGAYCTGGTAATAAAGATTACCTCATAGGGTCTAAAACGTCTGCATTATTCTCATCTCACCAGGAAAGTACCAGAGACGTACCATGCTTGTTGTTGTCATTTTCATTCTAAATYCATTATTTTCTTTTAGAATGTCAGTCTGCTAGTAAATGTATAATATGCCATTGATGAGCAAATGTATTATGATAATTTTAATTTGAAGATATCTAAACAGAACGGTGTTCCATTGTGTGATAATTCGCTGAATTTTTAATATGATGACTGTAGTACAAAAAGTGAAACCATGCCTAAAGCAAAAATAACCCCTGTCACAATAAATAATGCAGWCAGAATGTTATGCATCTCAGCTTGTGACAGAAGAGTCTGTGTCTTGTTTTGGTAAATGGCACAGAGGTTAATATTAAATGGGATATATACATGCATATATGGGTGGGTGGTATCAGAATAACACCACCCACACAGTCCAGATATTTGCCGTCTTACATCAGTTTGCACTATCATCCAGGCGTTGGTCAAACCCACGTTGCCTTCAGTGCCAAAGAGCTGGAGGCCTTTCTTCAGATCTCTCTGTGCGTAGTGATCAATCTGCAAAAACAGGATGAGAGAAAAAAAAGAAGATGAAAAACAGGCTGTTTTTAAAACAAGACAATTGAGCAAACATCATTTCGGCCTCTAGTTTGCACTGGATGTTTCCATTTTCTTTTTTGTTGCAGCAAATTGTTCTAACACAAGGAGAAACAAATGACCACTTAGATTTCCAAGAAAAGCTGCAGTGCTGTCTGAGGAAGGTGGAACGACAGAAACTCTTTCTTTCTTTCTTTCTTTCTTTCTTTCTTTCTTTCTTTCTTTCTTTCTTTCTTTCTTTCTTTCTTTCTTTC